ACTGTTAAATAAGATTACAATCAACGAAATGAATGTATAGCTTTCCGTTATTATGTTCTTAAATATGAAATCAGACTGTAAATATCATTCTACGTCTATTTGTATTATGCAATTACATCTATGATGTAAATGCAAAGTTCTACGAATTCTGAATCAGACAGCAATACAAAGTTCCACGAATATACTGAATCAGACAGCATTGTTGCTCTTACCTGTGCAACTATACGATTTCGCGCCATTAAGTTGTCCGATATTTGGTAGATATATACATATATATATATATATATATAATATATATGTATTAATATGTAAGTTTACTTCCTTAGTAGGTTCGCTATCACGAAAAGCGTTTCCTTGGGATTCGCACGTACAGTTAAAGTATTATCCGTTTCACAAATTCCACGTTTATAACGTTTATGTACGTGTGTGTATGTGTATGTCTGTGCGCGTATGTGTATGTGTGCGTTTAGGTGTGGGCGTATGTGGCGTTTTTTCCTCGAGTTTTTCTGAACGTTAAAACGTTAGCGAGCGCATGGCACAGAATATTCGAGACACGTGAGCGAAAGGCAATGTTAATTCTCTAGATTAGAATCATCACGTTAACGTTTAACGCTGTAAATAGACAGACTGTGATAATTTCTAACAATGTCTGCGTGAACACATCTCGTGAACGGGGTGACCGGAGAAGGGACTCGTTCAGGAAAGAGACCTAAGGAGGGTTGGAGGAGCGTGGGAGGATGGTTGATCGAAGGACACGAGAGAGCGAAGGCCTTTGCAGTCAATTTATCGTAAAAGAAATTAACACTTTAATTTATGTTCTAAGCGATGAAGGCGTGGATCGAACGCCTCGATCCGGCTCGAAGCACACCTGTACATAATTTATTTAAATAAAGTGTATTAGCTGGCATTTTACATACCTCTCGCCCTCCCATCATTATGCTGCTTCATTGTAAATCTAATGAAGTGTGAATGTGTCATCGCGGAAATTCATATTGTCTAAAGACCGTATCACATTATATACGCATTGTGAATTAAAAATTATAATTCAGCCAATTAAAACGAAATGGGTTAAAATTAAAATTGTCTGACTGGTTGAATTATAATCTCTAATTCGCAATCCTTGTGTCTTCAATTGACGCAAGTTTAAGTCAAAGTCGAAGTTTGAGTAATCTTTACGCAAAGAACGATGGGTCTGTCGTGGTTGACCCAAAAACTTTCTCAGTACGCAAATAATTTTTATCTTATATTTATCGCAATCTTTTAGTTAAAATTTAAGCGGTTCACCTTAAAATAATTTTTTTATTTAATAAGATCAATATTTGATTTAATGACTTAATATTTGATATTCTGCTTGACCTCAATGGCTCGATATTTGCGAAAGATATCATTTTCGAAACGTATTGAAACATATTCGTTTCACAAAAAAAGTTCCAGATAATAAAATCTGTCGAAGATAAATTTTATATATAAGTACCTGTCGCATTTTATATGTAAAAATATAACAGAAATTGTTAACAAAGTATGGCAAATTGACTTGCTAAATATCGAATAGAACCTGGCATTTTGTAATCATTTGAATAATGTATTCCGTTTAAATGGTTGTGAAATGATCGATTCTGCTTGATTTTTGATATCAATTTGCTATGGAAATATGTCATGATTAACTGCAGATAGTCGACTGACAAAATACGAGTTTAATGTAGATATGCTAATCTACCATAATATTCTACTCAAATATTTATATGAATCTTTTACATTTTAATTTATGTATGAATATATTTGAAGAAACATTTTGTTTCTTCAGATTTTATAAGTTTTCTTATTAATTATAGAATGAAAAATCTTAGAAATCTAAGCAGACTAAACATTTTGCTTACTAACTCTGATGAAAATTAAAAAAAAAATTCTTCATACTCTCTTTTGAGAGTTTTTACATAAATTAAAAAAAAATTTTTTTTAAATTAATACATAATTTTATATAATAATTCTTAAAAAAATTTTTTAGGTTTTCTTAGACGAGTTGAGATGTTTCTCAGAAGTGCTGAGAAAGTCTATATCCCACTTGACACCAAATATAAAAGTAACAAAGCTCTAAACTCTAAATATTATAAATGTAATATAACATAGATATTTTATGTTAGATACTTTTAGTTTGTGTCGAGAGATTGGGATCTTTTCTACGTAAAGATATAAAGAATCCTTTATACGTGTTAATTCAGAAATATTCATAAGTCTGAAATATGAATAATTCTTAAAAAATATAGAGGTAACAATTTTTTATCAAGGAATATATTAACGGTAAGTAAGATAAATATATCGCCTGCAATTAATTCTCTCTCCACTCCTCTCTTTTTCTCTTTCTCTCTCTCTCTTTCTCTTGAAACTCGTTACATTGATCTGGGACGCATTGTATACAGATCGGTTCGTCCTAACTGTACTCCTTGCACTTCCCGCACTCGAAACACATTTATGCTCCATTGAGACAAGGTAGACAAGGATAAGGCGGTAAACAGCGTAAAGAGGACGGACGGAACTCAACAGCCCACTTTACACGATCTACAATTCATGGTAATCCATTACGGACAAAATGCCGGATCTTTGTTTAAGAAAAAGAACAAAATTTATTATTATTACTATTTAATAAACATTTTATTCTATTTTAATTTTTTCTATCACAATTTTAGATTTCTTTTTTCGGAAAAAAACTATTTTGTCACTATTTTGTGATGTTAGATTATCTTTTTGTTAAAATAATAAATAATAAAGAACGATTATAATACAAAAGCAGATAGATTTTTTTGAAAAGTAGAAATTCGGAATTACTATTCTAATGAAAAAAAATTTTTATGTCTTTAAGAATTTTTCATATTTTTAATTTACGAAGATTTTTAAAAGAATATTATTTTATCAGATTTTATAAGTTTTATTATTAATTATAAAATGAGAAATCTTAGAATATTTCAAACTTGTATTTTTCACATATAAATTTAAGAATTATAGAATAAATTTAAAAAAAATTATGAAATATATATAGAAATTCTGAAAAAGCTATTTAAACACCCAAAAAAAAATTTTAATATTAGCAGAAACCGCTAAATCTTAGAGGATTTTATTCTTATATACGGCCTCAAAAGGAATCTTCTGAAATCGAGAGGAAAATATGCTAAGCACAATATTCTTGCAGTTAGAATACTTTCGTTTTGCATCTGCAGTAAAAATCTTGCTGTTCCTAATATAATTTACTCGTAAGAGGGCACTCCGCTTTCAGTAAATGTATTCCTCTTCATACAAGAGGAAAACTGTTAGAATAATCTCCAATACATTTTTGATAAATAGTCAAGTGCATTGGAAGAAGAATACTCTTTCTGTAAAAGTTTCTGCTTAGAATATGAGGTTACCGGAAATTTCACTTTACAATTAGATTATTTCTTTTTGGGTGAAGGATTCTAAAGGTGAGAAAGATAAAAATAAAGTAAAGGTCGATGTGAAAGATTCATTAAAACCCATTTAGATAGAAGTTAGCCTTTTTATATCTGGACTAGATGTGTTTCAGATAAAAAGTTCAACAAGTTTTTCTTTTTTTTTTTCACATAAAAAATTGCAATATAAAAGGAGAAAAGATTTAACAGGATGTTATATATGTTGATCATTATTCCTTACAAAGAAAACTGTGTGAAGAATAAATAAGAACATTCTTAAAAGCATATCAAAGAAATCTTAAAACAGCTTAAGGTAGCAGTCGAGGCACGTGAGAAACAATTTATTCTTTGCAGCTAAACCTACCTGAACCTTTTGTGTAAATGTAGATGAACTTATTGTTCGTCTACTCTACGTCTAGTTATAGAATGTCATAAATCTATTCTATTGAACCGGAACAAAAGTTTGTAGCGCTACGAACTTCAAAATTCAAGCATCTGTAACCATATA